CAAGAAATCCCATTCTGATGCTCTTAAAATTCCTCCTTTCCCAAATAGCTGCCATGTCATCCCAAGGGGCCTGAGAGGCTTTCTTTGTGTAGGAAAATCTGAAAAAATTAAATTTAAAAGTCATTATGGCCAGGGTAAGGTTAATAAGAAAATCCTAAACCAGATTTATCGGCGAAGGCCTTCTTTGTGAACCTTTATTAAACTTGCATGATTAGAATAGATTCTTCGTCTAAACTTCACTCAGAAGTCTGCAAGGGAATGGACGCAGAGCACGCCGCGCTGCTCCTCAGGACGGGAGCGAGTGGGGAAGCGTCAGACAGGCCCTCGCTAAAACGGCAGACAACACCAGGACCCACCTGGCCATGTAAGCAAAGACAGACAATACAGAGAGTGCGAGGGGCCACAAAATCCAAGGGGCCGGGAGCATCAGGCATGGCTGCTCCACCAGGAGGGCGCCCTCCTGCCCCCACCACTGAGCACAGAGCCTTGCCCCTGCGCCTGCAAGGGTGCTGGCCCCACCTTCTGCCTCTGCTGGCTCCAAAGCTCAAGGCATCTCTGCAGCTTGCCAGGATCAGGCCCTCTCCACCTCTCCTCTGAACCACAGACATCCAGCTGCACCTGCCTGGCAAGTCCTAGGTCACCCACCTGGTTGTGGCTGTAGAGGAGGCCAGGAAAGTGGATTTCTGGAAAATAAGGAAGGGAATTCAGAAGATACAGGGGAGCCAGGAAGCCTCACCGGTGGCCACTATGCTGACCCTGGCAACTTGAACAAAAAGAGAGTGGCTCATTTCACAAGAGCTCAGAAGTCTTGGAAAATCTCCCTTCAGACCCTAGCTTACCGTGACGCTCCCCTGGGCCATGCTTCCTCCAGCCGGCTTTGTTCTCAGGCTGCGAATGGCAGCTCCCAGCAACCCGACATCTTCAGATTCGTGTGGTTACCATGTCCAGGCCAGACGCAGGGGCCACCAGAACTGACCCCTAACTGGCTGACTTAGGTCATTAGCCTATTTCAAACCAGTTATTGAGGCGGGGTCCTCGGGGGTGGAAAACAAGGATCTGAACCATTTTCAGCAAAGGACCAGATAGTATTTTCATCTGTGGTCAGGCTGTCTCTGTCGTGACTCAATGCTGCTGCTGGGGCAGGAAAGCAGCCACAGGCTATATGTAAATGAATGGGGCGTGGCTGAGTGTCAATAAAACTTTATTGACAAAAATAGGCTTCCGGCCAGCGCCTCACTAGACCAAGCTGACCAGAGCCCTTCATCCCACCAAACCCGTAAGGAAACTTGGGGTGACATGGCCGCAGGACCAGAGCGGCGTGAGCCTGGTCAACCCTCCCTCAGAATCCTGAAGGCCAGAAGCTACCGAGGGCTGCCACGTGGCTCCTGGGGGAGGCCTGCAGGTTTTCACTCAAAGGAGAAGTGACCCCAAGATTCAGGCAGAGGCTGCTTTGGGGCAAGGCAGTGTCCCCAGCAGAGGGAATGGCCCGGGGCCAGGTGTCAGATACCAGCAGTGTGTGCTGCGGGGCCTGGCCAGAGCAGTGTCTGTGCATTCACGGCATCTCTGGAGAGGGCTCAGGGTCCTGGCGCCCAGCACATTTTGCAAACTCAGATCCCCGGGGTCAGGGGGATCTCGCAGGGGAGCTCACTGGCCTTGAGTCCTCCACCAGCCACTGCAGGGGTCACCTGCCTGCCTCACTGACGATGGGGTGGGACACCCTCCTCCCTGTTCCAAGCCTGCAAAGCTCCCCCCGCCCTGAGGCCCTCCCACCACCACCTCTGCCTGGAGATGGTCCCAGCAGGGAGTGTGTAATGTGGCCCAGCTGCCATCTCCCCTGAGGACACCAGGGGGACTGTCAGCTCCACCTCACAGCTCTGCCCACTCCCAGGCCCCCCAGGCACCAGGTCAGCCCCTAGACTCACAGTAGCACAGCCCTGGCTGAGGAGGGCTGCCCCCTCCCGCCCAGTCCCCGGCCCTCCTGGAACTTGTTCACAGGCCTCAGCGAAGCTCCCTTGAATGTCCCCCCGCAGCGGTCCTCTGCCTGGGACCTGGCCGCCCAGGACCCCACGTGGCCACAGCCCCAGCAAGGGCTGTCCTCTCGCACCCAAGGACCGCAGGGCTGAGATCAGGCACGCAGCTCCCTCCCAGGCATGTTCTCACCCCTAGAACACATGGATCTCCAACCATGGCCTGAGTCGCCCCTGCCATCCCCCAGCAGGCACTGTCTCCCATGCCATGATGCTGTGCAATTCAGAGCCCAGTGCATCCCATGGCGATGCCAGCTCCCTGTCCTGCTGGGGGACGATCTGACACCTGGGCGACTCAAAACATGTGTGATGAAGGGAAGACAGAGTGAGCCCCGAAGCTCCCTCCTCTAGAGCCAGGTCAGCCTCTCCAGGCCTCCCCGGGTACCCAGCTGCAGGCTCCGGGCTCCGGCCACCTGGCTCAGGAGCAGAGACAGCTAGGAGATTCCAACCGACACTGGACATTGGGAGCGGTGGGGGCGGCAGCTGTCCGCTCTGGAGTTTAACAAAGACGGTTCCTGCCAATCCTGAGATGAGATCTTCTATGGCTAAGTGTGGCCGTCGTGTGAGGAAAGGATCCTGCTCCCCAGACATGGCTGAGATCCCACTTTGGGTAAATCCACAATTTTTCTTCCTAACAAGGTGATTGGATCGGGATGTGAGTGCTTGCACCTGCAGGTGACAGGCGGGGCCCTTCCTACCAGACCCAGAGCTGGGCCAGGCCTTCGGGTTTTCAGCCCCGCTTAGAGCCCCAGGTCAAGAAGCCTGATTAAAGGACTTTCTCTGAGCTTTTGAAATAAAAACGACGCAGTGCTTGTCTGGGATTAAATTGGAATATTTTTCCATCCTTGACAAGGCAGCCCGTTGGTGTGGGCTCTGAATTCTTCTGTTGCGTCTCCATCCTTTTTCAGAATGTTGACTTGTCTCCTGCCTGGAAAGGGGACCAGCATATTTCATTTTTGTGCATTCATATGAAGGCTATCACTCATTCCTTCATTCATTGATGAGAGGACAGGCCTTGGGCCAGCAGGGACAGTCGCCATCTGTATGTCGTTGGACCTTGTTCGCCTGATGTCTTTGTCCACTGGTCTGACGGGGCCTCCACACTCATGACAGAGGCGTGCTGAAGGGGCACTTGTGGGTTGGATGAATCTGCGTCATCTCACAGCCTCCTCTCACACCCGCACTGAGACTGGGCCCAGAACCGACGCCTCAGGGCCTCTGTGTGCTTCTCTATCCTTGCAGGAGTCGCCTGTGGCAGACACGGTCGGCTGGCTCCCCAATGCCCGTTTCCCACCCCTTCTCCCTTTCCCACCTCACAAGGCTCCCTTCTTTGGGCTGGTGGTAGCCGTGGGACATTGTCCTGGCCAACAGAGCGTCGGCACAAGTCAGCTGGGGAGGGGCACTCCGGGAAGACTGTTACCGAACGGACAGCTGTGCCTCTCAGGCAGCCAGAGGGCCAGGCCAAGCTGCAGGGTCCTGACCACTGGAGGCGGGGGAAGGACAGAGCCCTGCCCTGATGGGCCTAAGTCACCTGCAGCCCTGGAAGGTCAGGCTCCTGTGTTCAGGTTACCCCAGAGCAAGTTTCTGTTCACTGCACCCGAGGGCTCCTCCCTGCCTCCTGGCTGAGGGCAGGTGCGAAGGTGGCGTGGGCAATGCCCCAGACGCCCTGGCGGCCTTGTTTTAACTTAGTCACCTCCTTAAAAGCCCTATCTCCAAATACAGTCATACTCGGAGGCCTTGGGGGTTTAGGGCTTCAACACGGAAATTCCAGGACACACTATTCAGCCCCTAACAGTGCCCCACACCAGGACACAGGGGCTTCCCACCCAGGGACACTCCCCTCCCAGTGGAAGGGGAGCAGAGCTGCCTGCAGACGTGCACAGCCCTGTCCTGACGCTCCAGCGCCCGTCCTGGGAGGAAGGGTACCTGATCACAGCACTGTCACATCACAGAGCACTGCTCAGCCATCTCAGCTGCATGTGGCAACACAAAGGAGTCCCACAGCCACAGTGCTGAGCAGAAGCCAGACACAAGTGCTGGAAGGTTCCACTCATGGAAAGAACAAACCCAGATGAACTCATCTTTGACGCCAAAGTCAGCATGAGCTTATAAGTTTCCCACAACAAATCAGAAGTCAGCATGAGCTTATGAGGTTCCTGCAACAAATGGCCACAAACGGGGGCTTGAAACAACAGGAATTGATTCTGTCAGTCTGAACTCACCAGGGTCTTGCTCCCTCTAAAGACTCCAGGGAGAACCCTTCCTGCCTCTTCCAGATTCTGCTGGCCACCCTGGTGTTCCTGGGCTTGTGGTGGCATCATCCAGTCTCTGCCCCCATCTCCCATGGCCTCCCCCCTCTGAACGTGTCTGTGTCTTTTCTTTGTGAAATCCCCTCTGCCTCCCTCTTCTGAAGATGCACGTGGTAGCATTTAGCTCCCACCTGGATAATCCAGAAAAATCTCCCCGGCTCAGAACCCTTCCCTCCAGCACCTCTTCTTCCTGCAAGGGGGTATCTCCAGTTCCAAGGATTGAGATGTGGCCATATCTTCGGGGCCACCAGCCAGCCAGTACAGGTGGAAACTTTGGGACCTGGAAGGGGTCTGGGTCTGGGGTGGGGACTGGGAATGAAAAGAAGGACCCACTGTTGAAGCTGCTCCATCAGTGGTCCTCTGCCACAGCTGCAAGGCTGACGCACCTGCCGGGCAGGTCTGCACGCCTGCTTCAGTGGGGCCCCGGCAGCCGTGCTACGAGGCGCACACTCCCGTGCACCCCCGAGCAGCCTGTCTTCTCTGATTCCTGATCTGGGTGCGGCTGACACAGTGTGTTCTGTCTGTGAACATTCGTTGAGCTGGGCTGACACGGTGTGTCCTGTTTGTGAACATTCATTGAGCTGCACACATATGCTACGTGCACTTCTCTGTACATATTTACACTTAACGTGGGTTTGTAACATTCTTTCCTTCCATTTTGCAGTTTGCAGGGGAGGTCCCCGAAAACCGTGTGGAGACTGTGGTCGCAAACCTCACGGTGATGGACCGAGATCAGCCTCACTCTCCAAACTGGAACGCCGTTTACCGCATCATCAGTGGGGATCCCTCCGGGCACTTCAGCATCCGCACAGACCCCGTCACCAATGAAGGCATGGTCACCGTGGTGAAGGTGCGTACTCTTCTCGCACCCTGCCAGGCACCCCAGGTTCTGCCACCTGCACACTCCCTGGGACAGTGAAACAGGAGTGATACTTGGTGTAAAGTGAGTGCCCCCCTAATATCCAAGGGCAGAGACAGGTAACCCAACCTGCTAGAGGCAGACACAACCTTCACAAGGACCTGTCATGTGACCTGCAGGGGCTTGGCAGACCCCCCCAGAATACCCTCCCATTCCCTTTTCAATGTCTATATATTTGCTGCCACCCCCTACTCTAGTAATGGGTGAATTTCATTATTAGAATTCCCAATGTTAAACCATCTTTGCATTCCTGAGGTAGATCCCATTGAGTAGTGAGGTAGTATTTCGTAACATGTTGAAGAATTTGTGTTGCTGATATTTGAAGTTTTTCGTGTCCTTTTCTGGGTGATTTAGGCTTACAGCATCCTCATCTGGGTTTTGCTATCAAGGTTACTGACTAATCTCAAGAGTATTTTTCTGTCCCAGAGATGGGTCATGTGATGCTGTAATAATCCGTCCCCTGAATGTTTGGTCACACTGTGCTGTGAAGACATTCAGTAGCTGCAGATTTTGTCTTTTTGGTTGTGCTTCTTTTTGTTTTGGAGAGAGATGGGTTTGTAACTGCTGGTTCAATTTCTTTGATGGTTTTGGTTAGATGTGTTTTTCTAGAAAAGTGTCCATTTAATCTACATTTTCAAATTTACTTATAAAGCCCTATCATTATAGTAGTGGTGATTAAGTCTTCTAACCTAACTGTTTTTCTACACTTATAATTCATATTCCCCTGGAAGGGCAGATTGGGAATTATATCGTAACACTTAGTGATCATTTACAACTTCGTGTGAAGGAGTTTAGCAGCTACTGTCCCAAAATAATTTTGAATAGGACTAAGAAGAAAAGAGCAAGAGTACACTGGGCATTTTTAGAGAAAAGGGCAGGGGGTAACAGAAGGGTGAGCTTAAAGCTGGATAGGATCTGCCGAAGCGTAAGGGAAAGCAAGTTTCGTTTTGGGTTGGATCATTTAGAAACTTCCTTCAGCGGCCGGGAGCAGAGCTTAACCACAGAAGCTTAAATACTGGAGAGCTTTATTCTGTCACGTGAGAGGAGTCCTGAGGTGGGCAGTTGAGGCCGATGTCACAGCTGCACAATCAACAGAAACCCTGGCTCCTTCTATCCTCTGCTCTGCTGTGCACACCTTTCAGGGCCCCTCATGGTCCAAAATGGCTGCTAGAGCACCAGCCATTACAAGACTTTTACAGGTAGCAGGAAATCAAAAAGGCAGAAGAATGGCTTGACCCTCCTTTATTGAAGGATCGTCTCAGAACACCTGTTCACATCTTATTGGGCAGAGTTTAGTCACATGACCATTCTTAGCCAGAGAAGACACTGCATAGCATAATTGTGGGCACATCTCCCAAACTTCTCCTAAGGAAGAGGGGAGCTAGATGCTAGGGGATCACAGGGGAAGAAAATAGGCTCCTCCAGGATCTGTGTCTTTTCTCAACACCCCAAAGTCATCTTTTTCCTTTTCTTAATAACCCCTTTTCTAAGCAAGCTAGTGAAGACCAGTTCTCCTGAAAAATCTTATAAAATGTCTTCATCATTTTTATTTTATGAAATATTCAAATATACACACAAGCGGAAATAATAGTAAAATGAACTTCCGTATACCCATCACCTAGATTTAATTAACATTTTGCTACATTTACTAAATCTTTTTATTTTGACTGATATGTCTGAAAGTAAATTAACATGTCACAGCATTCCACCCCTAACTCTGTATAAGCCTTCTTCTTCAAGAGAGGCTATTTTTTCACCTTGAAAGATAGTTCTTAGAGAAGAGGCAAAATACACGTTTCACTTCCCCTCTAATTATGAATTTTCAGAGTGAGCCATTAGCACAATCACGCCCCCAGTGGCAAAGTCAGATCTGTGTTCACAGGGACTGGGCATGGCGAGGAAAGATGTAGGAAACCCTTTCTCCTTTGACCTCGAGCTAGTATTCTAGCTCTGGCCCCTAGAAACCCACAAGGTGAATCGTCAGCCACTTTGCCGGCAAAGTTGCTCATGGGAAGGTGACAGAGACTGGATGTGACATGCAGGCAGAGGACAGGAGTGAGCTCTGAGCCCAGCGCTGGCTGGGGCCTTCTTCCCCAGTGAGCAGTGAGCCTCGGCCCGTCTCCTGCTTGTGATTCCAAAGAGGCGTCTCTGACTCCCACAGCTCGGATTCTGTGGCCTTCCCAGGAACACAAAGGGCAGCCCTGAGCCCAAGGAGATCAGCACCTGTCTCACCTGCCCTGCCCCTGGAGGACCACTTCTGCAGCTGGAGCACACACAGCCCCACCACCTTCATCGGCGAACGTAGATCAGAAAGGGCCGGTACCAAGGAAGAAGGCTGGCTCGATGTGGTGGGGAGAGCCTGACCCCTAAAGACTCCAGGGAAGGTGGCTTCCTGCCCAGCCCAGGGGCTGGTGGACTCAGCCATCATGCCCCTGCCTGGCCCTATCTGCGCAGAGCATCACAGCCATGGAAGGTGGAAGAGCACAGCCAACTGCAGGGAAGCCCCAGCATCCTGGGAGAGAATGGGCCTCGTGGCACTGGGCCAGGCCCTCGGCAGGCCCACGGAGCCCTCTTCTGTTCTTCAGAGAGGAGCCACTGGTTCCAAACGTACAGCAGAAACTAGTCTGTGGGGCATGGACTGAGGGTCCCAGGAGGGCCTGGGGGCCGCCACCCCAGGAACTAATTCTTGAGATGGAGAATCATCCCCTTCGGGTTCTTCCTCCAGCTGGGGATGCCTGAGAAGGCCACTGGGAGAACGACTCCCCCGGGGCTCAGCTGTTTGGCGGCCGTCTCCCCACAGCAGGAAGGCCCTGGCTGGCAAGTGGGTGGGGCATGAATTTTGGAGGCAGCAGAGGAGGTGCTGACGGCAGCCAGGTGGGCACAGCCGGGCAGATTCACTGACCTTCTGCCGTGTGACAGCTTGGCAGCAGGCCACCCTCCACTGAGTTTGTGCCACGTCCTGTCCCCAAGCCACTGGGGTCTCCTGCCCAGCTTCACCCTCCCCTTGTCAGGCCTCTGTCTACATAGTGAGAGTGGGGTTTCCCGAAGCGTGTCTGCGGAATGCTGGTTCTCAGGATGTTGATGAGCACTGCCTGCGAGCCACATGCACAGCTAAGATCTCCCTGTCACCTGTGCTTCCTGCCCCCCACAGCCGGTCATCAATGGCACTGAGGCCATTGAGGGGCCTGTGAGAGGAAGATAAAACCTCAGGACCCCAAACGCACTATGCCAAAGGGAAGTGGAGCATGGGGACTGAGTCTCGCGGTGCTGCCTCCCTTCTGTGGCCACACAGGTAACTGGGGCTTCACACACCTACCCCAGCTTCTGTGAAATGCGGATCCACTGAGCGCAGAGCAGAGCCTGGCAAGGATGTCGCCACTGTCTCGTTGCCTGCCCAGACCCCGCTTTTCCCTTTCCTCCTTCCCCTCCTGTCTGCTCTTTCCTCTTTAAATATTGAAGTCCTCAAAACTCTCTTTGGGAAAAGCACAGGACACAGATCCCACTGGGACTTGCGCTTCTCCTTCCTGGGTGCGGGCTCAGCCTCGGCGGAATAACCCTGGAATCGGCGGAGATCAGTGCGGGCTCAGCCTCGGCGGAATAACCCTGGAATCGACTCAGATCGGTGCGGGCTCAGCCTCGGCGGAATAACCCTGGAATCGACAGAGATCGGTGCGGGCTCAGCCTTGGTGGAATAACCCTGGAATCGACAGAGATCGGTGCGGGCTCAGCCTCGGCGGAATAACCCTGGAATCAACAGAGATCTGTGCAGGCTCAGCCTTGGTGGAATAGCCCTGGAATCGACAGAGATCGGTGCGGGCTCAGCCTTGGTGGAATAGCCCTGGAATCGACAGAGATCAGTGCAGGCTCAGCCTTGGTGGAATAACCCTGGAATCGACTCAGATCAGTGCGGGCTCAGCCTCGGCAGAATAACCCTGGAATCGACAGAGATCGGTGCAGGCTCAGCCTCGGTGGAATAACCCTGGAATCGACGGAGATCGGTGCGGGCTCAGCCTTGGTGGAATAGCCCTGGAATCGACGGAGATCGGTGCGGGCTCAGCCTCGGTGGAATAGCCCTGGAATCGACGGAGATCAGTGCGGGCTCAGCCTTGGTGGAATAACCCTGGAATCGACGGAGATCAGTGCGGGCTCAGCCTCGGCGGAATAACCCTGGAATCGACAGAGATCGGTGCGGGCTCAGCCTTGGTGGAATAACCCTGGAATCGACTCAGATCGGTGCGGGCTCAGCCTCAGCAGAATAACCCTGGAATTGACAGAGATCGGTGCAGGCTCAGCCTTGGTGGAATAACCCTGGAATCGACAGAGATCAGTGCGGGCTCAGCCTTGGTGGAATAACCCTGGAATCGACAGAGATCGGTGCGGGCTCAGCCTCGGTGGAATAACCCTGGAATCGACGGAGATCGGTGCGGGCTCAGCCTTGGTGGAATAGCCCTGGAATCGACGGAGATCGGTGTGGGCTCAGCCTCGGTGGAATAACCCTGGAATCGACTCAGATCAGTGCGGGCTCAGCCTCGGCAGAATAACCCTGGAATCGACAGAGATCGGTGCGGGCTCAGCCTCGGTGGAATAGCCCTGGAATCGACGGAGATCGGTGCGGGCTCAGCCTTGGTGGAATAGCCCTGGAATCGACGGAGATCGGTGCGGGCTCAGCCTTGGTGGAATAACCCTGGAATCGACAGAGATCGGTGCAGGCTCAGCCTCGGTGGAATAACCCTGGAATCGACGGAGATCGGTGCGGGCTCAGCCTCGGTGGAATAACCCTGGAATCGACGGAGATCGGTGCGGGCTCAGCCTCGGTGGAATAACCCTGGAATCGACGGAGATCAGTGCGGCTCAGCCTTGGTGGAATAGCCCTGGAATCGACGGAGATCGGTGCGGGCTCAGCCTCGGCAGAATAACCCTGGAATCGACTC